TGTGGGAGATATCTGCCCAGTGTGGGGTCACTGTGGGAGATATCTGCTCAGTGTGGATTCACTGTGGGATGTATCTGCTCAGTGTGCGGTCACTGTGGGATGTATTTGCTCAGCGTGGGGTCACTGTGGGATGTATCTGCTCAGCATGGGGTCACTGTGGGAGATATCTGCTCAGTGTGGGGTCACTGTGGGAGATATCTGCCCAGTGTGGATTCACTGTGGGATGTATCTGCTCAGTGTGCGGTCACTGTGGGATGTATCTGCTCAGCGTGGGGCCACTGTGGGATGTATCTGCTCAGCGTGGGGTCACTGTGGGATGTATCTGCTCAGTGTGTTCACTGTGGAATGTATTTGTTTCCCCCTCATGAATAGAGACTTTGCCTACGTTGCCAGTGACAAGGATACGTGCATGCTCAAGTGCCACGTTTTTCATTGCAACACACCTGCCAAAGCCATTGCCACTGCCCTCCATCAGATGTGCTCCCAGGCAAGTTCTCTTCAATACCTCACCAAGTAAACTACAGCCGGACGTGATTGTGTTTATGTTGCGTTTCTGACCCTTTTTAACCACAGGTGTCCCCTGTATTATGGGGGAGAGTGAAGATCCCATTGTGTGGGGCTCTTCTGGCACAGTGGTAGTGTCACTTTCTCTGAGCCAGGAGGCCCAGGTTCAAGTCCCACCTACGCCAGAAGTGTGTCACAACCTCGCTGAACAGGTTGATTCGGAAATATCTCTTGAAAGATCTAAAGATTCCAGATTGGTTGTTGTGATGCAGTGGTGGCGTCCCTACCTCTCAGCCAGGGGATCTGGGTTCAAGTCCCACGTGCTCCGGAGGTGGTCATAATATCTCTTGAAAAGATTGATTCAAAATATCCGCAAACCTATTAAACACAATCTGCCATTGTGTTTTAAAGAAGGCCTGATGTGGCCTAATGGTTGTGTCCCTGCCTCTATACTAGAAGGCCCCAGGTTCAAGTTCCACCTGTGCCAGTAAAGTCATAACATGCCTGAACAGGTTGATTTAAAATACTTTGAAAATGTCATCAATTTTGAGCCAGGAGGCCTGGGTTCGAGCCCCATCTGTTCCAGAGATGTGTCATAGCTCTCTCCACCTGTCGTAAGACTGTATGATACAGGAGCCGTGATGTGGACGTGCCGGTGTTGGACTGGGGTGGTCAAAGTCATAAGTCACACGACACCAGGTTATAGTCCAACAGGTTTATATGAAATCACAAGCTTTTGGAGCACTGCCCCTTTGTCAGGTCAACTGATAAAGGAGCTGCACTCCGAAAGCTTGTGATTTCAAATAAACCTATTGAACTATAACCTGGTGCCGTGTGATGTCTGACTTTGATAGAGGAGTGAAATGAGGCCCTTCAGCCCATTGGGTCTGCTCCACCATTCAACCATGCCTTCTTCCCTGACTAATCAGACACTTGTCATCTCTGTTTAAGTGATCTGTGTGCGCGCGCGCGCGCACACACACACACACACACACACAGAGCTCCCTCTGCTACTGCACATTTAGAATTGTATCACCTGTTTTGTCTTTTAATACTCTTCCAACCAAAATGCATCACCTCACACTTCTCTGCTTTGAGCTCATCTGCTACCTATCCATTCACTTCCACCAACTTGTCAATCTCCTTTTGGAGTTCTACACTGTCCTTCTCGCAGTTTACAATTCTTCCAAGTTTCATGCCATCTGCTGACTCTGAAATGATCTCCTGTGATCTAAATCATTAATCTAACAAAAAGCAAAGATCCTAATATCGATCCCTGGGGAACTCCACTATAAACTTTTGTCCAGCCTGAAAAAGTCATTACTCTCTGTTTCCTATCTCTCAGCCACTTTGTACCCATGTGTCCCTCTTATTCCATGACCTAAAACTTTGCACATGGTCTGTTGTGTGGCATTGTATCAAGTGCCTTCTGGAATTGTTACCGTCATCAAGCCTTTCTGTTACCTTATCAAGAAACTCCAGCAAGTTTGCTAAACACGATTTCCCCTTTAGAAGACCATGCCGAATCTTCCTCATCAACCAACGCTTCTCCGTGTGATTTTTAACAGTATCCCGAATTGCAGTTTGGCTGAGTTTAGAAATACCACCAGCGTCTTATGGCTCCAATCCCTTCAATCCAGAGCACAAACTCAATCATCTAACAGTGGATTGAACAAATCAGAATCTTAAATTTTCTTCGACTCATTGCAGATCATGGCAGAACGAGCAAATAATAGTGGCTCATCGAAAGTATCGAGAGTGGAGGACAGCATCTCTCCAGTCGACCTGCCTCTACAAGGTACTTTTTAATCTTAATATTCATTTCGCTGAACTCATCTACTGAGGTAAGCAGCTTCACAACCGAGTCTAGTATCATCTCGATGTCAACAACAAAGCAAACCCCAGAACTGCCAGGCTTTACTCTGTACCTCTCAGTCTTTGAACTTGAGTTTGGACAGGTAGTAACATGGGCAGATCACAGCCAGAGACATCCAATGTCCTTGTCTATTGTTTCCCAATAGGTCTGTTTCAAGGAATAACACAGTGTGGAGCTGGATGAACACAGCAGGCCAGGCAGCATCAGAGGAACAGGAAAGTTGATGTTTCGGGTTGAAATGTTTCAAGGAATGTTTTGAATTAGCTACCTTTATTACTGTGCACCAGACTGATGGCTAATATATAATCTTAATTTTTAAGAAAGATTTGCACAAATACGAACAAGGATCAAAAGTAGGCCACTCAGCCCTTCAAGCCTGTTCCACCATTCAATAATATCATAGATGATTTTTACAGGAAAGATGTGGAAGCGTTGGAACAGGTGCAGAGGAGATTTACCAGGATGTTGCCTGGAATGGAGGGACGGTCTTAGGAGGAAAGGTTGAGAGAGCTTGGGCTTTTCTCTTTAGAATGACGAAGGATGAGAGGTGACTTGATAGAGGTGTACAAAATGATCAGAGGTATAGATAGAGTGAACAGCCAGAGACTTTTTCCTAGGGTGGAGGTAGCTATTACGAGGGGGCATAGTTTTAAAGTGAGTGGAGGTAGATATAGGAGAGATGTTAGAGATAGGTTCTTTACTCAGAGAGTGGTTGGGGCATGGAATGCATTGCTGGAGAGGGTAGTGGAGTCGGCCTCATTGGGGGCATTTAAGCGGCTATTAGATAGGCATATGGATGGTAGTATAAGGTAGGGGTAGAGGTTAGATAGACCTTAGGATTAGCGTAAAAGTTCGGCACAACTTCATGGGCTGAAGGGCCTGTACTGTGCTGTACTGTTCTCTGTTCTATGTTCTATGTTCTATGATCTGAATGTAACCTCGACTCTACATTCCTGTGTCCCCCGATAATCTTTCATCCCTTTCAAAGACTGTTCACAAAGCTTAAGACTAAAGGAAGAAGTCCCCAAGTTCCAAAATAAAGACTTTAGACAGTCTCTTGGCTTGATGGTGTTGCCATCAATGGTAATGATTCAGACTAGGTAGCCAAAAGCTATGAAGACCACCAAAGATCTCTCTTCTTCCTAATACTCACTGATAACCTCCGCTTTGTTCCAATTCTTGAACACAAGCGAAAAATTGACTAGGCAGGTCCCTATCAATGGTAAGAGTTGATCTGGTTTTGACTGCAGAAGATGATGAACCATCGTCATCCAAAGCCTTAATTGCCTTGTCACCTACAATTTTAGAAGTGAACAAAAATTACAGTGCAGGAGCAGTACCCCTTAGCCCAATAAGTCCGGCAGTAAATTCAATTGCATTTACCGTCTGTGTTCCAGTTTCACACCAACCTCTTTCTCTTCATGTGTGTTTCTAATGTCATCGAATAGAATAGAATAAAATAGAACAGAATATCGTTTATTGTCACATCTACTCCAGTACAGAAGTACAGGAGTACTATGAAAAGTTTTTACAATGGCTGCCTTAATGGCGCTATCTTAGATACAGGTACCTAGGTACAAATCTTACACAGTATAAAAATTGTGTTGTTACGGAGTAAAAAGGAATATAGATTAGCATGAAACAGTGACAAAGTCCAGAATGATAATAGGTGACCATAAGAATTTAGGTTCCAGTCCGTGGCTGTCGGCCCCAGAGCATGAAGTCACGCTGCGTCCATGTGCCAGCCTCCATCCAACACTCGTTCCACTCACTCTGCCCCATGGGGCTCGGCCCGTGCTGGCTCCGTCGTGGGGCTCGGCCCGTGCTGGCTCCATCGTGGGGCTCGGTTCGTGCTGGCTCCGCCGTGGGGCTCAGCTCGTGCTGGCTCCGCCGTGGGGCTCAGCTCGTGCTGGCTCCACCGTGGGGCTCGGCCCGTGCTTGCTCCGCCATGGGGCTTGGCCCATGCCGGCTCCCTCGTGGGACCCGGCCCGTGCTCACTCCGCCGTGGGGCTCGGTTTGTGCTCGCTCCGCCGTGGGACCCGGCCCGTGCTGGCTCTGCCGTGGGGCTCGGCCCATGCTGGCTCCGCCGTGGGGCTCGGCCTGTGCTTGCTCCGCCGTGGGGCTCGGCCCATGCTGGCTCCGTCATGGGGCTTGGCCCGTGCTCACTCCGCCATGGGGCTCAGCCCGTGCTCGCTCCTCCGTGTGACCCGGCCTGTGCTCACTCCCTTGTGGGACCAGGCCTGTGCTTGCTCCGCCGTGGGACCCGGCCCGTGCTCGCTCCGCCGTGGGGCTTGGCCCGTGCTCGCTCTGCCGTGGGGCTCGGCCCGTGCTTGCTCTGCCGTGGGGCTCAGCTCGTGCTGGCTCCGCCGTGGGGCTCGGCCCGTGCTGGCTCCGTTGTGGGGCTCGGCTCGTGCTTGCTCCGCCGTGGGGCTCAGCTCGTGCTGGCTCCACTGCGGGGCTCGGTCCGTGCTGGCTCCGTTGTGGGGCTCGGCCCGTGCTCGCTCTGCCGTGGGTCTCAGCCCATGCTCGCTCCTCTGTGTGACCCGGCCCGTGCTCGCTCCACCGTGGGGCTGGGCTCGTGCTCGCTCTGTTTCACTGTGAGACATCTGGACATCTTGAGTGTTGACTCAATTGCTGCTTTAATGGCTACCCTGGGAAATGAATCCATAGCTTCCCAATTCTCTCTGTGGGGAAGTTTAACACTCACTAGTTTCTAAAGCCCCAGCATTTAATCTTCTATCTGTTGTCCCTTATTTTATATCCTGTAGCGACTGGAAACTGTCGGCTTCCATTCTGTGTGGATCTATCTGTAAAAGTCCCCATTGAGAGCCTTTGGGTTTGTAAGAATGTTAAATGTATCAAAGTGTAAATCAAGTGTGACTAGGTTATGTGGGGGTTAAAGTAAAGTTAAATAACTCAAGGCCCAGGCTGTGTTCACACTGTAACTGCAGTCAGCTACTTTGCATAAATGTCATGGGAATACACTATAGAACCTTCAAATGACACAGCAGATTGGAGACCATTTAGCCCATCATGTCCTATCCTGGCTCTTGGAAACAGCTAACCCTTTCCCCACTGTTAGAACAATGCAAATTAAGGGAAGACGTGATTGGATGTGTTCAAAATTATGATAGGATGGGACAAGGTTCACAGGAGCAGACTGTTTTCAGAAGTCAAGGGGTCATGGGTTAAGAGAAATAGAACAGAGGATAGGAGACACATGGAGAATCATAGAATCCCTACAGTGTGGAAACAGGCCCTTTGGCCCAACAAGTCCACACCGACCCTCAGAGCATCCCACCCAAACCCATCCCCCTGTAACCCACCGAATCTACACATCCCTGAACACTACGGGCATTTTAGCATGGCCAATCCACCCTAACCTGCACATCTTTGGACTGTAGGAGGAAACCAGAGCACCCAGAGGAAACCCATGCAGACACGGGGAGAATGTGTAAACTCCGCACAGACGGTCGCCCGAGGGTGGTCCCTGAAGCTGTGAGGCAGCAGTGCTAACCACTTAGTCACCATGCCAATCCATAATATGTGGAGATAATAGAACAAATGTTTGAAGCTTGGTGAAAAGGGTAGATTTTAAGGAGTAAAGAATGAATGTGGTAGAAAGTTGGAGAAGTTTTAGAGGGAATTCCAAAACTTAGGGCCTAGGCAGCTGGAAGCATGACCACCAATGAGAGAGCGATGGAAACTGGGAATATTTGGGAGTCAATTTCCAGGCTATCGATACAGCCAAATGCTCGCAATAATCAAATACAGAATGAGACACAATGGTTCCTGCACTGCTGATAGTGGAGAGAGGAAGACGAGAGCTGGAGAGGGACAATAGAATGTTGACATCTTGAATGTTGACTCAATTTTGGCCTTAATGACGAACCCTGGAAGTGAATCCATAGCTTCCCAACTCTCTCTCTGGAGAAGTTTTAGCATTCAATTTTTTTCTAAACCCTCTGCATTTAGGAGGAAGCATAAATAATGATGTTTAGAGAATCAGAGAATACTTAAATAGAACATTCACAAAGGAGAATAAATAGGATTACCATACATGAATAGATGGTAAAGAATGAAAGAAAGAGTTGCGTTTGTATAGTGCGTTTACCAGCAATCGGACTTCTCAAAGTGTTTTACAACCATTGAAGAAATAACTTTTGAATTGTTGTCACTGTTGTTGTGTTGGAAGTGCAGCAGTTAATTTTAAAACTGTCACAAGCAGAAGTGTGAAAATGATCAAGTAATCTGTTTATTGTGGTATGATTGAGGGATCCAGGACACTGGGAGTAACTCTCCTTACCAACAGGTAGTTCATATCTTTCTGAGGAGATCCTTGCTTATCTGAAAGGCAGGGGCTGTGCAATACAGCGTTTTCATATTCAACTCCTGACTCTCTGACTCACAGGAAGAGGAGCAATGGCTGATGTACAAGTGTACAGTGTACGGGCTGTGGGATGGGATTGAGTGCATGGGTACACTCTATGACCACCTGCCTACCTTTCTCTTCCAGTTGACCTCCTGGAGACAGTGAGACAATCTGTACAGAGGTTTAATGTCCAATACATCGGCAGTCTCCCTGTGACCAACTCAATGGGTGAGTCAATCTTTCTGTGAAAACCAGCCCCAAACCGGAATTATAAAAACTGCAACAGATTGGGAGTCGTTCCCAACATGAAGAGAAATTGAGGGAAAAATAATCTTTGTGATGTGTCTTATTATGGCATCAATTCCAGACCTGACAGACTTGTATTTTTATACAGTTAGATGACATGATGACATAGAATCCCTACGGTGTGGAAAGAGGCTATTCAGCCTATTGAGTCTGCACCGACCCTCTGAAGAGCATCCCACCCAGACCCAACCCTCGCCCTATCTCCATAACCCCACATTGATCATGGACAATCCACCCAACCTGCACATTTTTTTAATATGTGATGTTCCGACATAAAGTTACCAGTCTCAACGTTCGTCATCCTCTCTGAGTAACGGAGTCAATATAGTCAGTCAGTTATCTGTGTAATCAGTAACATCAGTAAGCACAGAACCTAAAGTGTATGTTTGATTTGATTTGATTTATTATTGACACGTACGTACGTACAGTGAAAAGTTTTCTTTTGTGTGTAGTACAGGCAGATCATATCATACAAAGTGCATTAGGGTAATAGAACAGAGTGAACGTAAATCTGCGATATTGTAACCGTGTAACTTGTTAGTGTTGTAAACAAATGTCAAGATATCTGACTCAACATGAACCCAGGTTCATGGTATATACAAAATGGATTAACATAAAGTAAACCACAAACCACATCATGATGCAAACCAAAACTGACTGAGCTTGTTGGGACCTGAAGGTCATAGCTGCAAGATTGTGTCTGAGGCAGACGGTGATGGAAAACAAATTTGACCTCATCGTCACCGATCTGCCGGCTGGAAATGTATCTGGTCATGGCAGTATTGGTAGAAGTGCCAACCACACAGTCCTTGTGAAGATGAATAGACTTTGCACAGAACTGGTAACTCAAGACTGGGCATCCACGAGCCACTGTGGGCCATCAACAGCAGCAGAACTGTACTCCAGCACAATCTGTAACCTCATGGCCCGGCATATCCCCCACTCAACCATTACCATCAAGCCAGGGGATCGACCCTCGGTCAGTGAGGAGTGCAGGAGTACATGCCAAAAACAGCCCCGACTGCACCTGGGAAATGAAGTGGCAGCCTGTTGAAGCTACCGAACAGGACTACATGCACACCAAACAGCAAAAGCAGCAAGTGATAGACAGAGCTAAGCGATCCCACAACCAACAGATCAGATCTAAGCTCTGCAGTCCTGCCACATCCAGTGGTGAATGGTGGTGGACAATTAAACAACTCACTGGAGGAGGAGGCTCCACAAATATCCCCATCCTCAATGATGGAAGAGCCCAGCACATCAGTGCAAAAGATAAGGCTGAAGCTTTCGCAGCAATCTTCAGCCAGAAGTCCCGAGTGGATGATCCATCTCGGCCTCGTCCAGTGGTCCCCAGCATTACAGATACCAGTCCTCAGTCAATTCAATTCACTTCACTTCATGTAATCTCAGTAAAAGATTGGAGACACTGGATACTGCAAAGGCTATGGGCCCTGACAACATTCCAGCAATACTGCTGAAGACTTGTGCTCCAGAACTTGCTGCTCCCCTAGCCAAGCTCTTGCAGTACAGTTACAACACTGGCATCTGCCTGAAAATGTGAGAAATTGCTCAGGTATGTCCTGTACATGAAAAGCAGGACAAATACAACCCAGCCAATAACAGCCCCATCAGTCTACTCTCCATCATCAGTGAGGTCATGGAAGGTGTCATCAACAGTGCTATCGAACAATGACACCCAGTTTGGGTTCCGCCAGGGCCACTCAGCTCCTGACCTCATTACAGCCTTGGTTCAAACATGGACAAAAGAGCTGCATTGCAGAGGTGAGGTGAGAGTAACAAGTTTTAACATCAAGGCTGCAAACAACCGACCATGGCATCAAGGAGCCTTAGCAAAAACTCAAATTAATGGGTACGAGGGGCAAACTCTCTGCTGGTAGGAGTCATAACTGGCACATAGAAAGATGGTTGTAATTCTTGGAGTTCAGTTGTCTCAGCTTCAGGACATCTCTACAAGAGTTCCTCAGGATGGTGTCCTAGTCCCAACCATCTTCAGCTGCTTCATCAATGACCTTACCTCCATAATAAGGTCAGAAGTGGGGATGTTCACTGATGGTGCTGAACATTGAACATTCACAACTCCTCAGATACTGAAGCAAATCCAGCTCATTAACACTTCTGACAATTGTGTTGCATCTGAATTGTGAGGAGAAAGTCTAGCTGTTGGAGAAATATTGTGGACCATCTTCTTCAAATATTTTTGCAATATGTATTTAAAACGTTGCTTATTTTCATAGTGTTTCATTAGTTTATATGTACATTATTTGAGTGTGTTTTTTATATAAGTATACATTTTAAAATGTACTTTTTAACTTCCATATAACTTTTATTAAATATGTTTTTTTTTTAAATTACCCTGTTCAGAGATGGTATTACACACCTCTGGAGCAGGTGGGACTTGAACCTATGCATCCTGGCTCAGAGGTAGGAACACTACCACTGGACCACAAGAACTCTTATGATTATTTTTTAATTTTTTTTTTCATTTTTTTTATGTCCAGAAGTGTTTTTACACATAACTGAACATTTCGATTTTTTCCGTCATTAAATAACCTGTGTTTTTTCTTCATCTATTAACTCCCACCAGTAAATCCTGCTCCTATGATGCTGCTTGGCCTGCTGTGTTCATCCAGCCTTGCACCTTGTTGTCTCGTAAATCCACCCATGTTTTTCCAGTTGATTAATTTTACATGTAAAGCCCGTTAAGGGCAATGCAGACCATCAGAGGTGAGGGACAGGGATGGAACAGGGAGGTGACAAGCAACATGAACATAGGGCATGGTACTGTGTAGCACAGGAATGGGCCCTTCGGCCCACAGTGTTGTACCAAACATGACGCCAAATTAAAGTAATCCTTTCTGCTGGCTCTTGGTCCATATCCCTCCATTTTTTGCATATTCATGTGGTTATCTAAAAGTCCCTTAAATGCCCCTACTCTGTCTGCCTCCACCACCACCCCTGGCAGCGCGTTCCACACTCCTACCACTCTGTAAAAAACTTGCCCCTAACGTCTCCTTTGAACCTATCCCTCTCACTTTAAATGCATGCCCCCCTAGTTTTATCATTTCAACTCTGGGTGAAAGAATATGACTGTCAACCCTATCTGTGCATCTCATAATTTTATAGACTTCCATCAAGTCTCCCCTCACCCTCCACCGCTCCAGAGAAAACAACCCGAGTTTTTCTAGTCTCTCCTTACAGCTCAATTCCAGGACTTGAACCTGGACGTCCTGGCTCAGAGGTCTTAAATATTTTTATGAATTCATACTTGTAAGGAAGTCAGGTGGCCTAATTAAAATGACAGCAAGACTGTCAATTTGTAGCTAAGTGGAATGATTAATTTAGCATAAGATATGACTCTATAAACTAGGCAGTAATTAGCACAGCTTATCAGGTTCTTCTTCCCTGGATAATGAATGCGCAAAACTCTGGACTGGATTTGTTATGTAGAATTGATCTCTTTATGAGATTTTAAACATTTGTGGTCCCTTCACCCTCAGTGCTGGGGCTATTCGTACCTTCAGATCCAGGGTAGAGGTGATCGGTCTTGCTGGATCTCTGCTGCAAACACCCTGGTTTTGACCTCCTTTCCTGCAGAATTTTGAAAACCAAGAGAAAACTACTAAACAGATTCACTAAAGAGCCAGTGTCAATAAATGTGGAGCTGGAAAAGCACAATAGGTCAGACAGCATCCGAGGTGCAGGAAAGTCAACGTTTCGGACCAAAACCATTTGTCAGTCCTGATGAAGAGTTCTGACCCGAAACATTGATTTCCCTGCTCCTCAGATGCTGTCTGGCCCTCTGTACTTTTCCAGCTCCACATTTATTGACTGTAGCTTCCAGCATCTGCAGTCCTTATTGTCTCCAGGTCACTAAAGAACCAGGCCTTCAAGGGGCACCAGAACAACACGTGATTTTCAAAAGGAAGTTTGATATTCAATAAAAAAGCTGGTTGGTGCTGGACAGTGTAGTCCTGCCCCTGAGGTAGCCACAGAAGGTCTCATCAACCAAGTAGAGATCATATGTTCGGGTACATTCGATGTAAATGGAACCAAGGAGGTGAGACAGGCAGGCGGGTTCTCCTTCTATATATACATTTTCCTACTCAACCGGTTCAGAGTTGCCATTATATTCCTGTACTCAAGACTCTTGGCTTAGAGGTAGGGACATTACCACTGCACCACCAGAGATCTGGAGTATGACATGAACCTACAACCTCCTAACTCAGAGTTGAGAGTCTTACCCAGCAAGCTCACGTAAGACGATTAGATATAGGGACAGAATTAGGCCATTCGACCCATCAAGCCTGCTCCACCATTCAATCATGGCTGATATGTTGCTCAATCCCATTCTCCCCTTGATCCCCTGACTAATCACAAACCGATCTATCTCTCTCAACGACTTGGCCTCCACAACCCTCTGTGGTAATGAGCTCCACAGATTCACCACCTTCTCTTATAGACATGGTACTGTCATGCTTTTTAGCTGGAATAGACTGGGTTGCATTCCCTGTGGGTGGGCTTTGAACCTGGGACTCCTGGGCCAGAAGCAGGGACGTTGCCGCAGGCTATCTTTCCTACATTGCTCTGAAAACCCTCGAAGAACTACTTGCAAATAAACTAAGTTAATGATTGTTAACCTCTCGTAGGGACACAGCAGTACAAACCAAGACTTTGATACAAACTAATTGAAATAAATGAAAATGTTGTTTTGGTGGGAGATGATGCCGCCACCGCCCACCAGCCCCTGCAGTGCCCACTGGTTATCGACAGCCCCTAGCATGTTCTTGGACACTGCATAGTCTCTCTCTAGGGCTCAGAAGTAACCGCAGAAAAGAAGCAAGCTTTCTTTCTTATGTTTTGCAATCAGCCTACTCAGAGATGTTATTACACATCTTTGCAGCAGGTGGGATTTAGATCCCAGTCCTCCTGGCTCTGTGGCAGGGACACTACCACTGCAGCACAACAACATTGTTATTACATACAACTGAATGGCCTTTTTTTACCACTACCTTGTGTTACTTTTCACCCATTATCTGCCGTCACTAAATCACCCGTGTTTCCAATTAATCAAATTATATGCAATGCGTGGGAAGACAATGCTGACCACCAAAGGTAAGGGAGTCTCCTCTTTTATAAACCATCTATGACTCACCAGGGCACATGGTTGATTTTTAATTGACCTTGAGCATTTGCTCCTGATCTACTACTTTATTAAATAATAAGACTCTCAGGCGTTCAGACGTTTTATCAATTTCTATTCCATCTCACAGACTGGTACAACTTTATGCCATTAGAGACTCATATGCAAACCAAGGTTACAAAAGTTCATTCACATTGTAAACTCGTGTTTAAACTTATCCAGACACACATAAAAAGCATAGTGAAGCAACAGAATTTGAAAAATGGTTCATTTTTTTTGCAAAGCGTAATTTAAAGCATAAACGAAAACAGAAATTGCTGGAAAAGCTCAGCAGGTCTGGCAGCATCTGTGGAAAGAAATCAGAATTAATGTTTTAGATCCGGTGATCCTTCCTCAGAACTGAAAACACAGATGCTGCCAGACCTGCTGAGCTTTTCCAGCAATTTCAGTTCTTGTATCTGATTTACAGTATCCGCAGCTCCTTCGGTAATTTAAAACATGATTTTCTAACAAGATTGTACTTTGTTTTTTATGGTATATATTTTCATAGGATTATTAACATCGAAATATATTCTTTTATCATACATTGCTTTATTTCTCAACTGTATATTTCTATCACAAAAACTAAAGATCTGCAGATACTGGAAGTCTGAAACTAAAACAAAAATTGCTGGAGAAGCTCAGCAGGTCTGTGGAGAGAAAAACACAGTTAAAGTTTCAGTCTGGTAACTAGAACATAGAACATAGAACAGGGAACAGTACAGCACAGTACAGGCCCTTCGGCCCACGATGTTGTGCCGAACTTTTACCCTAATCCTAAGGTCTATCTAACCTCCACCCCTACCTTATACTATCATCCATATGCCTATCTAATAGCCGCTTAAATGTCCCTCATGAGGCCGACTCCACTACCCTCTCCGGCAATGCATTCCACGCCCCTGCCACTCTCTGAGTAAAGAACCTACCTCTGACGTCTCCCCCTTATCTACCTCCACTCAGTTTAAAACTATGCCCCCTCGTAATAGCTACCTCCACCCTAGGAAAAAGTCTCTGGCTGTTCACTCTATCTATACCTCTGATCATTTTGTACACCTCTATCAAGTCACCTCTCATCCTTCGTCGTTCTAAAGAGAAAAGCCCTAGCTCTCTCAACCTTTCCTCGTAAGACCTTCCCTTCATTCCAGGCGACATCCTGGTAAATCTCCTCTGCACAATTTCCAACGCTTCCACATCTTTCCTGTAATGAGGCGACCAGAGCTGGACACAATACTCCAGATGTGGCCGACCCAGGGTTTTGTATATTTGGAGCATAACTTCACGGCTCTTGAACTCGATCCCTCTATTAATGAAAGCTAACACACCATAGGCCTTCTTAACAACTCTATCCACCTGGATGGCAGCTTTCAGGGAACTGTGAACATGAACCCCAAGATCCCTCTGCTCTTCCACACTGCCAAGAATCTTTCCGTTAACCCTGTATTCTGCTTTCAAGTTTGTCCTTCCAAAATGAATCACCTCACACTTTTCAGGGTTAAACTCCATCTGCCACTTCTCAGCCCAGCTCTGCATCCTATCAATGTCCCTTTGTAACCTAGAACAGCCCTCTGCACTGTCCACAACGTGACCCACCTTCGTATCATCCGCGAACCTACTAATCCACCCTTCCACTCCTTCATCCAAATCATTTACAAACTGTTACATGTTCTACAGGCTGAATGTCACTACAGTTAACTCTGCTTTCTGTCCACAGATGCTGCCAGGCCTGCTGAGCGTATATTTCCATCAGTTTGTTTCTCATTTTCTGGATGTTGGTGTCCTTTCAGGAATGAAGCTGGTGAACGGAGTGATAAAGAGTCTGTTGGATTCAGTGGACAGATGTGACTGGCCTTCAGTTCTCCTCCAGGTTACGGATACCACTCTGTCTGTGTCTAAGGGGGAGGTGAGCACAGGTTCTACTTGACACCTCAATGTCACTCCCCTTCACACCCGCTTTCTCACCCTCAAACCCTGCAATCAAGACACGGAGAATCATCACATTCTATGCTGATCTGTGTGTAATCCTTGTGTCAATAGAACAGAGAACATAGAACAGTACAGCACAGTACAGGCCCTTTGGCCCATGATGTTGTGCCGACCTTTTACCATAATCCTAAGGTCTATCTAACCTCCACCCCTACCTTATACTATCATCCATATGCCTATCCAATAGCCGCTTAAATACCCCTAATGAGGCCGACTCCACTACCCTCTCTGGCAATGCATTCCACGTCCCTACCACTCTCTTGAGTAAAGAACCTACCTCAGACATCTCCCCTGTATCTACCTCCACTCACTTTAAAACTATGCCCCCTCGTAATAGCTACCTCCACCCTAAGGAAAAGTCTCTGGCTGTCCACTCTATCTATACCTCTGATCATTTTGTACACCTCTATCAAGTCACCTCTCATCCTTCGTCATTCTAAAGAGAAAAGCCCTAGCTCTCTCAACCTTTCCTCGTAAGACCTTCCCTCCATTCCAGGCAACATCCTGGTAAATCTCCTCTGCACCTTTTCCAACGCTTCCACATCTTTGAGGCGACCAGAACTGGACACAATACTCCAGATGTGGCCGAACCAGGCTTTTGTATAGCTGGAGCAAAACATCATGGCTCTTGAACTCGATCCCTCTATTAATGAAAGCTAACAAACCATACGCCTTCTTCACAACTCTATCCACCTGGGTGGCAGCTTTCAGGGAACTGTGAACATGAACCCCAAGATCCCTCTGCTCTTCCACACTGCCAAGAATCTTTCCGTTAACCCTGTATTCTGCTTTCAAGTTTGTCCTTCCAAAATGAATCACCTCACATTTTTACATGTTTCATTTCATCTGCTGCCTGAGTCCAGTGCTCTGAAACACCATCCTGAAACCTTTCTGCCTTTCCATCTGTCTCCCTATTTTATTAACACAGTAATTCAAGCCTACTGGGGTGGCACGGTGGCTCAGTGGTTAGCACTGCTGCCTCACAGCACCAGGGACCCGGGTTTGATTCCACCCTCGGGCGACTGTCTGTGTGGAGTTTGCACATTCTCCCTGTGTCTGTGTGGGTTTCCTCCGGGTGCTCCAGTTTCCTCCCACAGTTCAAAGATGTCCAGGTTAGGTGGATTGGCCATGCTAAATTGCCCATAGTGTCCAGGGATGTTTGGGTTAGACATGGAAAATGCAGGGGTAGGGGAATGGGTCTGGGTGGGATGCTCTTCAGAGGGGCAGTGTGGACATGTTGGGCTGAATGGCCTGTTTCCACACTGTAGGGGAATCTATGATCTACTGCTCTGGCCCAGACTTCAGTCACCTCTTTCTAATTACTTCCTTAGCCTTACAGGCAGACAAGTCAACAGCACAGAATAAGGCCCTTCAGCCCATCGAATTGATGCCAGTCAACAATAGCCATCTAACTATTCTAAAACATTTCCCAGCACTTGGCCTATGGCCATGAATACCTTAGTGTTACAAGTGCACATCTAAACACTTCTTCCATGTCATGAGGGTTTCTGCACCTACCACCCTTTACAGGGAGTGAGTTCTAGATTCTCACCACCTGCTGTGTGAAAAAGTTTTTTCTCACATCCCCGTTAAACCTCCTGCCCCTGACTTTAAATCTATGCCCCGGTCATTGATTCCTCCACCAAAGGGGAAATGCTTCTTCCTGTCTATGCTGTCTATATTCCTCATAATTGTATACATCTCCATCATATCCCCTCTGCTCTAAGGAAAGCAACCCCAGTCTGTCCAATCTCTCTTCAGAACTGAAACTCTCCAGCCCAGGCAACATCCTGATAAAACTCCTCTGCACCCCCTCCAGTGCAATCACATTGCTCCTATAATGTGGATTCCAGAATTGGTACAAGTTGTGTTGTTTGTTCTATACAGGAGAGCAGGGAGCTGTGTTGGCAGTGCCAGGTACGGTACTTGACCTTCCTGGGCATTGGGAAGGACCCACATACCTTCGGCCTCATCGTGGACACGGGACTCCAGCATTTTGAGTGCCACGTTTTCTGGTGTGAGCCTGACGCTGGCTACATCTCTGAGGCCATTCAGGCAGCTTGTATGGTGAGTCTTCTTGTAGTGCTGGGTGTCACAGGAACAGGCCACTCAGCCTGCTGCCCCCGTACTGGCTCTGTGTGTTGCCCCCATTCCCACCGCTCTTTCCCCTGAAATGTAGAATCATGGTGTGGTTGAACCCTCAAGCAAAGAAGGCCATTCGGCCCATTGTGCCTGTTTCAGCTCTTCAAAGAAGCTGCCCAATGAGCTCAATAATAGTCCTTCTAAAGCATTCAAACCTGGAGTAAAAGTAAAGTTGCCACAGTCCCAGAGGATCAAAGGGCTGCTGTCCCATTAGAGAGAGAGAGAGACGACCGGTGGTGTTTTAGCCTGAGGGTCATCGTGTATGTGAGCGTGATTGAGGAGGTAACTGAACCAAAAAGAATAAAATTTAAAGCAAATACAGCAGGCTCCAGAGCAGCTGTTGTGTAATGTCCCTAGCCCTGGACCGGGAGGCCTGGGTACAAGCGGGGAGGCAATGGCCTAGTGGTATTATCACTGGACTGTTGATCCAGAGACCCAGGTAATGTCCTGGGTTCAAATCCTGCCACAGCAGATGGTAGAATTTGGATTCAATGAATATCTGGAATTAAGAGTCTAAATGCTGCCTAGCCAGTGACACCCTCATCTTGTGAATGAATAAAGGACAAAAAAAAAGTCCCACCTGCTTCAGAAGTGTGTAGTGACATCTCTGAACCGGTAGATTAGAAAATATCAAACACCCTCCAGAGTTTGTGTCGAGTCAGGTCCAATGAAAGAGGTTTGTAGTGTAAAAGATTAATGTGATTATACAAATAAGATCATTTGCAGCATCATTGGGAAGGTCACAAGACCACAAGAAGCTAATTCTCTCACAAGGTGAAGCCTTGACCTGTTCCTAGTTTGTACTTACCACATCTCCCCACACTCTGTGCCAACCCTGTGCAATTCTTTGCAAGCTCCCTATAGTAGATCTAACTCTAACATTTCTTATAACCATTCTACACTTGTAAACTTAAATTCTATATCTGTAAAAGTTACTAATAATGTTCTTTCATGGCTCTGTCCAAATCGTTTAGGTCTGTACATCCTTGCTTACTATGATCTGCCTGTACTGCTCATAAACAAAGCTTTTCACTGTACTTTGGTACACATGACAATCAGTCAATCAATGTTTGCTAAGAGCGAAGACTTCTGTGAGTTTTATCAGCCCTGCCCCCAGACACATTTGAAAAGTAGGGGGTTTGGGGTGGGGCACTTTTAATTTATTTACTCACAATGTCACTGGCTGTGCCAGCATTTGTCATGTATTTTTAATCGCCCCTTGAGAAGGTGGGGGTGAGCTGCCTTCTTGAACCGCTGTAGTCAGAGTGCTGTGGGTTGACCCACAATGCCATTAGGGAGGGAATTCCAGGATTGTGACCCAGTGACAGTGAAGGAACGGCAATATATTTCCAAGTCAGAATGGTGAGTGGCTTGGAGAGGAGCTTGAAGCTGGTGGTCTTCTCATATATGTGCTGCCCTTGTCCTTCTAGATGGAAGTGGTCGTGCGTTTGGAAGGTGCTGTCTGAGGAACTTTAGTGAATTTCTGCAGGGAATCTTGTAGATAGTACACACTGCTGCTACTGAGCGTCGGTGGTGGAGGGAGTGGATGCTTGTGGATGTGGTGCCAATCAAGTGGGCTGCTTTGTCCTGGATGGTGTCAAGCTTCTTGAGTGTTGTTGGAGCTGCACCCATCCAGGCAAGTGGGGAGTATTCCATCACACTTCTGACTTGTGCCTTGTAGATGGTGGACAGGCTTTGAGGAGTCGGGAGGTGAGTTACCCACCACAGTATTCCCAGCTTCTGGCCTGCTCTTATAGCCAATCTGTTAATGTGGTGAGTCCAGTTGAGTTTCTGGTCAATGGTAACCCCAGGATGTTGATAGTGGGGGATTCAGTGATGGTAACACCATTGAATGTCTAGGGGCGGTGGTTAGATTGTCTCTTATTGGTGATGGTCATAGCCTGGCATTTGTGTGGCGCGAATATCACTTGCCACTTGTCAGCCCAAGTCTGGATATTGTCCAGATCTTGTTGCATTTGAACACGGACTGCTTCAGTATCTGAGGAGTTGTGAATGGTGCTGAACATTGTGCAATCATCGGCAAACATCCCCGATTCTGACCTTATGATGGAGGGAAGGTCATTGATGAAGCAGCTGAAGATGGTTGGGCCTAGGACACTACCCTGAAGAACTCCTGCAGAGATGTCCTGGAGCTGGGATGATTGACCTCCAACAACCACGACTATCTTCCTATGTGCCAGGTATGCCTCCAACCACTGGGGAGTTTGCTCCTGATACCCATTGATTCCAGTTTTGCCAGGGCTCCTTGATGCCACCCCCAGTCGAATGCAGCCTTGATGTCAAGGGCTGTCACTCTCATCTCCCCTCTTGAATTCAGCTCTTTTGTCCATGTTTGAACCACGGCTGTAATAAGGTCAGGAGCAGAGTGGCCCTGGCGGAACCCAAACTGAGCGTCACTGAGCAGGTTATTGCTGAGCAGGTGCTGCTTGATAGCGCTGTTACTGACACCTTCCATCACTTTACTGATGATCGAGAGGAGATTGATGGGGCGGTAATTGGCCGGGTTGGATTTGTCCGGCTTTTTGTGTACAGGACATACCTGGGCAATTTTCCGCATTGTCGGGTAGATACCGGTGTTGTAACTGTACTGGAACAGCTTGGCCAGGGGAACAGCAAGTTCTGGAGCACAAGTCTTCAGTACTATTGCCGGAACGTTGTCAGGGCCTGTAGCCTTTGCAGTATCCAGTGTCTCCAATTGTTTCTTGATATCACGTGGAGTGAATCAAATTGGCTGAAGACTGGTATCTGTAACGCTGGGGACCACTGGAGGAGGCCGAGATGGATCATCCACTCGGGACTTCTGGCTGAAGATTGCTGCGAATGCTTCAGCCTTATCTTTTGTACTGATGTGCTGGGCTCCTCCATCATTGAGGATGGGGATATTTGTGGAGCCTCCTCCTCCAGTGAGTTGTTTAATTGTCCACCACCATTCACGACTGGATGGGGCACGACTGCAGAGCTTAGATCTAATCCGTTGGTTGTGGGATCACTTAGCTCTGACTATCACTTGCTGCTTTCGCTGTTGGCATGCAACTAGTCCTGTATGGTGGCTTCACCAGGTTGATACCTCATCTTCAGGTATGCCTGGTGCTGCTCCTGCACTCTCCATTGAACCAGGGTTGATTCCCCGGCTTGATGGTAATGGTTGAGTGGGGGATATGCCGGGCCATGCGGTTACAGATCGTGCTGGAGTACAATTCTGATGCTATTGATGGCCCACAGTGCCTCATGGATGCCCAGTGTTGAGTTGCTAGATCTGTGCGAAGTCTGTCCCATTTAGCACAGTGATAGTGTCACACAACACAATGGAGGTTGTTCTCAATGTGAAGGTGGGATTTCATCTCCACAAGGACTGTGCAATGGTCACTCTTACTGATACTGTCATGGACAGATGCACCTGCAGCCAGCAGATTAGTAAGGATGAGGTCAAGTATGTTTTTCTCTCTTGTTGGTTCCCTTACCACCTGCTGCAGACCCAGTCTAGCAGCTGTGTCCTCTAGGACCCGACCAGCTCGATCAGTAGTACCGCTGCCGAGCCACTCTTGGTGGTGAACATTGAAATCCCCCACCCAGAGTACATTTTGTGCCCTTGCCATCCTCAGTGCTTCCTCCCAGTGTTGTTCAACATTGAGGAATACTGATTCATCAACTGAGGGAGGGCAGTATGTGGTAATCAGCAGGAGGTTTCATTGCCCATGTTTAACCTGAAGCCATGGGACTTCATGGGGTCTGGAGTCAATGTTGAGGACTCCGAGAGCAACTCCCTCCCGACTGTATACCACTGTGCCACCCCCTTTGCTGGATCTGTCCTGCTGGTGAGACAGGACGTATCTAGGGATGGTGATGGTGGTGTCTGGGACATTGTAAGGTATGATTCTGAGAGTATGACTATATCAGGCTGTTGCTTGACCAGTCTGAGACAGCTCTCCCAATTTTGGCACTAACCCCCAGATGTTAGTGAGGAGGACATTGCATGTCGACAGGGCTGTTTCTGCCGTTGTCTTTTCCGGTGCCTCGGTCGATGCCGGGTGATCCATCCAGTCCCATTTCTTTGAGACTTTGTAGCGATTGGTACAACTTTGTGGCTGCTAGACCATTTCAGAGGGGAGTTGAGAGTCAACCACATTGCTGTGGGTCTGGAGTCATATACAGGCCAGACCAGGTAAGGATGGCAGATTTCCTTCACTGAAGGGTTTTAATGAACCAGATGGGTTTTTTCCTGACATTCAACAACAATTTCATGGTGATCAGGAGATTCTTAATTCTAGATTTTTAAAAATTGAATTCAAATTCCACCATCTGCCATGGCAGAATTTGAACCCAGAACCCCAGAACATTAGCTGAGTTTCTGGATTAATAAATCTCATGAAAACACCACTAGGCCATTGCCTACCAAGCCAGGATGGTGAGGTGGCTTGGAGGGGAACTTGCAGGCAGTGGTGTTCCCATATATATGCTGCCCTTGTCCTTCTAGATGGTAGGAGTTGTGAGTTTGGAAGGTGCTGTTTAAGGATTTTCGGTAAATTTATGTAGTGCACCTTGTAGATAGTACACACTGCTGCTACTGAGCGTCAGTGGTGGAGGGAGTGAATGCTTGTGGATGTAGTGCCAATCAAGCGGCTGCTTTGTCCTGGATGGTGTCAAGTTTCTGAGTGAAATTGCACCCATCCAGGCAAGTGGGGAGTATTCCATCACACTCCTGACTTGTGTCTTGTCGATAGTGGACAGGCTCTGGGGAGTCAGGAGGTGAGTTGGACTTGTTCTTCTTAGGGATCAGAAGGTTATGTGGCAATATAAGAGGTGTTCAAAATGGTGGCACATTTGAATAGATATATCTGCCCGGCTCCACTCCACTCATGAACAAGAGGAGGTCATAAATCCAAACATCAGCAACAGCAGCAGGATGAGGTCATTCAGCCCTTCAAGCTTCCTCTGCTAGTCAAGGTAAATAGGTAGAAGCTGATTTGAGGCTATTCGCAAGACACAAGCATGATGAGAAGAATTTTACTTTTCACTGGTGTGATCTGGAATGCAGTGCCTGCAAAAGTGGTGGATTCATATTGAAGAAATAATTTTTAAAAAAGGATTGAGTGAGCACTTGGAAAAGGAAGAATTTGCAGGGCAATGGGTAGAGAAGCTAATTGGATATCCCCCTCAAAGAGACAACACAGATACAAATGGGCAAATGGTCTCCTTTTTTAGTGAGATTCTTCAGGAGAGTGTGCCCTTTGTCAGGAGTGAGCATGGGACAATGTCAGGTCTGACTGTGCCCAGCCCAATGGTGAAATGTTCTTTGAAAGGGAGAGGACAGAAAATAATTGATCCCCAATCATCTCCTGAAGGAATCAATTATTCCCCCACCCACCATCCCCAGCATTGCTGCCCTTTAAACAATGTGCCATTTGCCAGTCTCTGACTCCGTTCCTCGTCCAAGGTCCATTAACCCATTGTTGTCCTTCCATCCTACAGCTACAATACCAGAAGTGTTTGGTGGCTACAGCTCCCACAGTGAGATCAAAGAGGGCCACTCACTCACAGGCACCCTCTTCAGGCCTGAAGAAGCACCTGTCTTCCCCAATGATTGATGGTGCGGGTGCCACGCCTGGACCCCTCCTCTCTGCCCCCAAGTTCACCAGTGGCTCCAATCTGAAACGTGGCATCCTGGCCCTGCTGGACACCTTTAAACACAAGCATTCGGTGTTGCAAATGCCATAGTGTCACAGGGGGAGGGGCGGTGGCGGTGTTGGGGAGCGGCAGAAGTGGACGAGGCTGGGGGAATGGTTCTTGAGGTGAGGTTGGAGAAAGGGAGCCTTGGTGAGTTGGGGTGGTGAGTGATGGGGCATGTGGGTGGGTGGAGAAGGGATAGGGTCTTGGGAATGGGAGAGGAACTAGGATCCACAATTGGTGGGTTTGAGGGGGAAGGCCACAAGCTATTGGGTGACAATTTAGGAGTGGGAGGGGTAAATAGTTGTGAGGGTGGGGGAGATATTAAGGGAGATGGGGGGTTCTGTGTGAAGGGCGAATATCAGATTATAGAGTGGCAGGTTAGGTGGGGAGGGTGTTTAGGCACAAGGGAGAAGGGAGGTGAAAATGGGAGAGTGGACGTGATGGGGAATAAGCCAGTGAGATGCGGGCGGGGATTGAGCCAGAGATGGGGAAGGTGGTAGGGAGTTCTGTGTCGGATGTGGGTGGGCACAGTGGGGATGAGGGCTGGTTCATTGAGAAATTGGGAGAAGGTGGGGGGAGGAGGGACCACACACAAGGGACCTGGTTTTAATCAGTAATTAATCTAAGGTGATTGACAACTATAGAAATAGTCATGAGTTGCATTTATTTTAATTTTATAGGAGTGTGGTGGAACAAATGGTAAGGTTCCTCTTTGGAGAGTTACTGCATTATCAGAATTGTATGGAAAATCGAATTCCATTTGGTTCCAATTTAAGCTGCAGGTAACACTGGAGACGCAAATTCCTGGAAGACAAGCTCACAACCACTTGGTGAGGTCATGTTCTCTCAATCAATGTTTCTCATGGACTCTTCCCTAATGCCTGGTGCTGCACTGTTGAAAGAATTCAGGGGAGAAACAGGGAGAACCCATCCGAGGCAATTCACTTCCTTTGCTCCCTCTGCTCCACTCCACTCATGAAGAAGAGGAGGTCATAAGGCCAAACAGCAGCAGGATGAGGTCATTCAGCCCTTCAAGCTTCCTCTGCTGGTTGTCATCATGGGATTTGAACCCATGGATACAGAGCATTAGCCCGGGCCTCTGAATGACTGGCCCAACGAGATTACGGCTAAGCTGCTGTGTCCGCCATTCAGGGAGTCAAGAAGGATAAAGCTAGGATAGGAAAATGGAGTTGAGTTCAGTGATCAGAGGGCAGTATAGCCTCCTCCTGGGTGTGGTGGGGCCTTTGTAGGTGATCAGGCTACGGGCTCCTCTCATAAAGGGGCAGTGCTGGTGTAACCAGAAACTGCTTCACATTTCCTCCTCACGGCCAGGAAATTTGACCTCTGTGTTTCACTCAATAAAGTTGCAGCCATTGTAAAACATTCTCAAAAGCGATGTTATCACTTTGAGTCCCCATAATGATTCAACCACAGGGACTGGCGGAGAACGATGTTGTGAACAGACCATTGTTTATTAAATAAACTGAATTGTGAATGTGAGAATGGTGGCCTTTTTCTTAATAGTTTCAGCTGACAGATATCAGAACTCTCTAAGCAATACTTGGTCTTGATACTTTAATTGTCTCAGACAATTTTTGTGTCTTGGTCCTGTCCTATTCACTGCCCTCCTCACTCGCACACTCCCTCTCCCCTTCTTAACCCAGTCAATAACTGGTGAAGGAGCATAAGCAGGTGAACTCACCATGATCATTTCCTCTTCAGGTACTGGCCCCCTTTTCCTTCGAATCAGATTTCTGTCCCTGCCTCAGCAATGATCCAGCTCTTATCAAAGGTGCAGACAGTATCCTCTGACACTGTGACAAAAAGAAACTTCCCTGTTCTCTCTTTAGCCTCTGGCATGGGATCGAAATGGTGAGCGACTACACAGCTCTGAGCTGCAGAGGGATCCGGGAGGTTAGTGCATGGATCACCTGTGGTTAATATGCAGGTACAGCAAGTAATCAGGAAAGCTAATAGAATGTTGTATTTTATTATGCAGGGGACTGGATGTAAGAGTAGGCAGCTTATGCTTCAGTTACACACGATACTGGTGAGACCACATCTAGAGTACTGTGTACAGTACTGGTCACTGTACTCATGGAAGGATGGTAATGTGTCAGAAGGAGATCAGGGAAAGTTTACTAGACTAATACCTAGAATACATAGATTGCTTTCTGAGGCAAGACTAGAGCTAAACCTGTATCCTCTAGAGTTTAGAAGAGACTGAATTGAAACATGAAAGATCCTGAGGGGACCTGACCGGATGGATGATGAGGGAGAATCTAGAACTCGGGGCCATAGCACCCTTTAATTCTGAAGCTATGCCCTCTGGTCCCAGACTCTCCTATGAGGGGAAATATTCTCTAAGCATTGGCCCTGTGAAGTCCCTAAAGAATCCTATATGTTTCAATGAGATCACCACTCATTCTTCTAAACTCAGGGGAGCAGAGTCCCAACCTGCTTAGTTTTTGCTCATTAGAAATCCTTCCATACCAGACACCATCCTAGTGAACCTTCCCTGAACTGCCTCCTATGAAAGGATATCTTTCCTTAAATAAGGGGATTAAAACTGTTCTCTGTACTCCAAATGTGGTCACACCAGAACCTTGTAAAGTTGCAGTAAGACTTCCATACTCTTACACTCCAACCCCCTTGAAACATGGGCCAACATTCCATGAACCTCCCTGATTACCTGCTGCCCCTGTGAGCTAGCTTTCTGTGTTTGTGCACAACTCCCCCCAGGTCCCGTTGTGTTGCAGCTTTCTGCAATTTTTGTCCATCTAAATAATACTGTTCTTTTTGTTCTGCCTTCCAAACTGAACAACTTCACGTTTCCCACAATGTGCTCTATTTGTCAGCTTTTTGACAATTTACTCACCAGTATCTCTCTGTAGAAGGGTCTGGAGAAGGGTCTAGGCCCAAAACGTCAGCCTTCCTGCTCCTGTGATGCTGCTTGGCCTGCAGTGTTCATCCAGCTCGACGCCTTGTTGTCTCAGTATCTCTCTGTAAACTGTTTGTATCCCTCTCACAACCTGTCTTTCCACCTATTTGGTGTCAACTGCAAATTTGGCTACAGTACACTTGTTTCCTTCCACCTGTCATTAATGCAGTTCTCGAATCCCCAACCAGTGGAAAAGGTTTATCTTTACCTACCCTGTCTTTTGCAGTTAATATCTTGAAAACTTTGACCAGATTGCCTGTTAATCTTCGAAATTCCAAAGAAAACAGGCCTACTTTGTACAATCTCTCCTCATAACTTAAGCCCTGAAGTCCAGGTATCATTCTTGTAAACCTATGCTGTACTCCCTCCTAGGCCAATATGTGGTGCTCAGATCTGTTCACAGTATATACAATCAGACAAGGAACTGGACCATGGTGTCTGTTCCACCATTCAGAAGAATTGTAGCTGAACATAGCTCCACTTCAACTTTAGTTTCTGATCCCTCCATCCTTTAGATCCCTGGTATCTCAGCTAGTGGCAGCGGGTAGTGTCGCCATCTTTAAGCTAGAAGCTCTATGCTCAGGGACTTGATGTCCAATGGAGGAGGCATTTGTAAGTGGGCCAAACTGGGTGACTACCAACTTGGAAGTCCTTCCAACACATGCTAATGGCAGGTGGTGAGAGCAGGAGACATTCCTGGTCATCTATATTATGGGAAGAATATTGAAGTCTCAACCAACACTATCTGTAGCTTCAGGCTACAACATGCAGGTAAAAGGGCGTGTTGCCCTAAATGACTGGGAGTCTCCATGTGAACTGCAACACAGCACTAGCCCTTACAGAACCTATCAGTCTTCAATGTTAAACACACTCGACGACACAGCAGTTACCACCTTCTGAGTTAAGAAATTCCTCCTCATCTCAGTTCTAAATGATCAACCCCTGACCTTAGACCATTAGGGTGTTTGCACAGTCTTATTAGGGAAGGGGAGCAGTTGGAAAGGCCTACTGTTAAGATTGAAATTGTACTTAACCTTTCTCTTCTGCATTCACCAGTTGTCACAGCAGCTTTAACTAAACGATTCCGGTGGCTCGAATGTACAATACATCAGAAACAGAGTGAATCAGATCAGTTACATTGGTTTAACTGACAAACATTTTATAGAAAGCGTCAATGAAAGGTGATCGAACACAATGTTAGATTTCCACTTATGGGAAAGAATAAACTGCAAGTCTGTCAAGTGAAATAATCACCAAAAACAGGGAATTTAGGAGACCACAGTGTACCAGCAAGGTTCAATGCAAGCTGTAAGAACATCTCATCTTCCACTTGGGGACATTACAGTCTTCAGGAGTTCAATAACATGAACACCTCTTTCCATGTCTATTACCCACCCCAAACTCCAGGACCAGTCATAACATGGGCAGAAGTCAGATAACACCAGGTTATAGTCCAACAGGTTTATTTGAAATCACAAGCTTTTGAAGCGCTGCTCCTTCGTCAGACTGAATAAAGGAGCAACGCTTCGAAAGCTTGTGATTTCAAATAAACCTGTAGGACTATAACCTGGTGTCGTCTGACTTTGTCCACCCCAGGCCAACATCGGCACCTCCACATCCTGTTATGACATGGGTAGCTTTCAACACAGCCAACCCAATTCCATCCCCTCATTATTACCTATCTAGCTTTCCTTCTTCCCTGGCTTACTATTAACCATCCCTTTGTCTGCCCAACTTTTTTATTTTCTCTCTCTGGGTTCCACCTGCACCTACGTGCTCACTCCTTCCCTCTCTCACCCCTCCCCAGATATCAACATAAACTCCATTTTTCAATGTTGCCAAACTTGCCGAGTTTCTCCTGCAAACTGCTTTTGTTTCAGATCGTCAACATCCACAGCTCTGTTTTCTCAGGGAATCAAGGGATCTCGGGTCAGCCATGGTCTTAGTGAACGGTGGAACAGGTTCCTACTCCTTATGTCCTGTGCAATCCTGACTGTTCGCTGGGGCCTCACAGAGACAGCAGGCCAATTTGGTTTCTGGAATAACGCAAACTCAATTCGCTAAATCGCTGGTGTTTATTTGCAGTCGCTTTCCAGGCCTGTTGCAGGACAGGCTACAGTGCTGTGCTGGGCCAGCCCACAGCTAATGGAGCCCCATTACAGGGAGTGAATGATGGTTCTGTTACGCAGTTGCTGCACATACTCCTTGGCCTGGTCAAAGCCGGTTGTTGCCTTCTTCAGCGGGGGGCTTCCTTCCACCAGCTTGACAAAGTAGTGGCAGTAGACTTTGTCCATGATGCCAAACATCCCTCGCCCATGGTAGCGAATCCTCTTCAGATACTGACCCTTACTTGAGAATGACTCAGCTGAGACGGGTGGGGAAAAGAAGGAACAGGAAGTGAATTTTTTTCCTACAATGAGATAATCTACTTTTACCTTCTTACTGTCCCAACTTCTACAGCCAGCCTATGGCTCAGCAGATAGCAGGCTTGCCTCTGAGACACAAGGTTGTGAGTTCAAGTCACACTACAGGATTAGAGCACAAAAATTTAAGCTGACACTCTGCACAGCACTCCTTCGGTATCGCACCAGAGTGCCTGTCTTTTAGATTCCAAAGAAGAGAACAGGAGTTCACCCTGGTGTCCTCAGCAAATATTTATCCCTCAAGATAGCAAGAACTACAGATGCTGGAGTCAGAGACAACACAGTGTGGAGCTGGAGGAACACAGCAGGGTCCTGACCTGAAACGTCAACTTTCCTGCTCCTCTGATGCTGCCTGGCCTGCTGTGCTCCTCCAGCTCCACACTGTGTTATCTCTTATTTATCCCTCAATATAGTTATTACTACATTGCTGCATGTGGAAGCTTTCTGTGTGCAGATCATGTGCCATATATTACAGGATTGACTACACTTCAAATTATTTCATCAGCTATTACGTGTTCTCAGATTCTAGTAGATATCAAGAGTGAAAAATAAATGCCTGTCTTTTTAATTTTTTTCGAATGAACACCACTGGTAGCATAGCAATCATATCACAGGACGCGCAATCCCAGGCCTAGGCTGAAGCTCTGGGTTCATGTTCCACCACAGCAGCTCTTTTTGTTTCTAAAATCCATTTGTGGGATGTGGGTGTCACTGACTGGCCAGCATTTATTGCTCATTGCCCTCCAGATGGTGGTGGCGTGCTGCCTTCTTGAACTGTTGCAGTCCACCTGAGAGATTTGAAGTTCAGTTAATAAATTGAGAATTCCCTCCCCAGACCTCTTCACTTCTTTCTCCAATATTAAGCTGCTTCTCAAAACCGACCTCTCTAAGCAAGCTTTGGGCACTAATATCTCCTGATGCGACTTGGTACAAAGGAGCCTGGCTGATGGTGACTATGACAACTGTCGATTGTTGTTAAAAACCCACTCAGTTCACTAATGTCCTTAAGGGAAAGAAATCCACCATCCCTGCCTGGTCCGGACTGTATATGACTCCACACCCACAGCTGTGGGTAGATGACTCTTAACTGCCCTCTGAAATGGCCCAGCAAGCCACCCAGTTCCAGGGTAATTAGGGACGGGCAACAAAAACTGGGCCTTGCTGGTGACCCCCACATCCCATGAAAAAAATAAAGGAAAAAACTAAAAGCAAGGGTTTAGTTATTTATTACATTTCTGTCTGCGGGCGGTTGCTGGGTACAGATTGGGGGACACATTTCTGAAATTACAGAACTTTTTAAAAAAAAGCACAAACAAAAACAGAAATTGTATGGGAAAGTTCAGTTGAGTCGCTAGACCCGAAGTGTTAACTCTGATTTCTTTCCACAGATGCTACCAGACCTGCTGAGCTTTTCCAGCAATTTCTGTTTCTGTTTCTGATTTACAGCACCCGCAGTTTTTCGGTTTTTCAAAAAAGCGCCTCGTATTAAAACGTAATTTCAGTACCGGTGATGGTGAAACTAACAGACTTCTGTAAAATTACTGGGTCTGCTCTTACCTACGTATAGGTTCGATCTGTACTCCAGATTGTGGTTCCTGACAGCCATTTCTTGGGCTTCCAGAAGAACCTGAAAGAGGCAGCAAACAGAAGCACAGATTGAAGCACGATGATGAATGGACTAAATACCACAACTCCAAAAAGAAAGCAGTGAGACGGAGAGAGTGTGAAAATAAATAAACTTGAATTTGTACACCCCTTTCAACATGTCAGGATGCTACAAAGCACTTTACAGATAATGAAGTACGTTTTTGTTTCTTTATTCATTCACGGGATGAGGGTATTGCTGGTGAGGCAGCATTTATTGCCCATCCCTAATTGCCCAGTAGACAGTTAAGAGTCAACCACATTGCTGTGGGTCTGCAGTCACATGTAGGCCAGACCAGGTAAGGATGGCAGTTTCCTTCCATAAAGATGAGTTGTTAGAGCTTGCTGTTTACAAATAGTTTGCTGCATTCCTACAATACAGTTTTCTCAAGTGGTATGTTCAACTGAGGCCCCACCTGCAATGTCCACAGTACTGGATCAGTGTCACTTGGTTAAAAGTGTGACAACACTTGAGGTTCCTTCGAGACTCAGCTGGAGAAGTCAATACCATGAGGCTGTTGTCTCTCGTGGAGGTGTCTGAAACTACAGGATATAATTTAGGTAAGGCAAAATCCTTGCAGGCCATAGGGCTGCTCTCTCATTAGAGAGAGATGACTAGTTGGTGGTGGTTTAACCAGAGGGTCACTGTGCCTCAGGTGAGGGGGGATTTCGAGAAGGTGGGGCCTTCATGGTAACCCCAGCCGATGTGGGAATCGAAACAACTTTGTTGGCATCACTGTGCATCACAAACCAGCCATCCATCCAACTGAGCTAACCAACCCCCATACGTTATACACCTGTTCGAATGGCAGAGCTGGCTCAAAATGCTAAATGTCATGCACCTGCTGCTAAGTCTTATATTTTATTAGACATATAAATCACAGACTAGGAATGAGATATGAAACTGAGGGTCTGTCTGTTGTTGCACGGAGGATGTAACCAATCCTATAACTTATTCAAAGGAGAGCAGGAGTGTTTTCTCTGGTGTTCTGACCAACACTAATCCCAAAGCCAACATCAAAAACAGAAATTGGTGGTAAAGCTCAGCAGGTCTGGCAGCATCTGTGGAGAGAAGTCAGAGTTAATGCTCCAGGTCGAATGACCCTTCCTCTTAGCTTTTCCAGCAATTTCTGTTTTCTGTTTTTGATTTGCAGCTCTTTCGGTTTTTAATCAAGAATAGAATACCTGCTTATTTTGTTGCTGTTTTTGGAAGCTTGATCTGCATAAATTGCCTGCCATTTGCCCTATATAAGGGCATGGAAAAAGTACATAATTTGCTGTAAAGCAGTTTGGCATACCAGGTGCTATATAAATGCAATGATTTCTTTCACTGTGTCAGTGTTTAAAAATGAGCCCTCTAGGCCAGGTGCTTCATATCAGCAATTGCCCGAACCACCCCGTTCTTCAAGTCCATCTCTTACCTCCAACATAACCTTCGCTCCCTTTTTGTCATTGAACTGCAGCTGGGCAACCGCTTGGTCGAACGTCATCCCTCTGATCTGCAACACAAACCTTAATGTTCAAATCCTTCATACAGGTTACCACAATCTCCAGCAGCATCTTTCCGAGGCTCTCTACACAGCAACAAACCCATCTTCTAGAAAGGGCAGCAGATACATACACAGGAACATGAGTTGCACGTTTAAGACAGAGATAAGGAGAAATTTCTTCTCTAAAGGGGTAATGGGTCTGTGGAATTCTTTACTACACAGGTCTATCGAGGCTGGGATGTTGAGCACATTCAAGGGTGAGGGAGACAGATTTTTAAACAGTAAGGGAATGAAGGATTATGGGAAAAAGGCAGGAAAGTGGAGTTGATGATCATCAGATCAGCCACGATCCCATTGAATAGTGGAGCAGACTCAATGGGCTGAATGGTCTATTTCTGCTCCTAAGTTTTATTGACTTATCACAACTTGCACGTTCCTTTCAAACCTCTCACCATCCTGACTTGGAACAGCAACAGATTTCATTGCTGCTTTAATCTTGTTGGGTCAAAATCCTAACAGCACTGTGGGTGTCCATACACCACAAGAACTGCAATGGTTCAAGATGGTGGCTCACCATCACTTTCTCCAGGGCAGTTAGGGATGAGCAACAAATGCTTAGGTTTGCCAACAACACCCATAAACTGAACAATTTTTTTTAAATCCAAGCTAGCCAGATAAACAGAAGAAGCAAAAAGAAGAAAAAAAATCTTTGAGGAACCAGTCCAGACATGGAGCAAAACAATCTGCTTTTTCTGCTTGGGACCTGACCCTCATTCTGTAGCCTGACGGTTCCTTATTTTGGGATGGTTAAGGGTTGGATAACATGCAAAAACGTGTATAGGAAGCAGTCCTTTGCTCCACGCAGCTTATTTCACAAAACTGACGTCCTGACAGTGGTAAAAGCAAAATACTGTGGATCTAAAACAAACACAGAGAATGCTGGAGAAACTCAGTTCTGAAGGAGAGGTATATCAGACTTGAAACATTCACTTTCTCCACAGATACTGCCAGAGATTCTCTGCATTTGTTCCCGACAGAGAAAGTTGGGAATACTTTGGAAACTGTCTGAATGTGGTAGAAGGGGGATCAGGCAGCACTTGTCCTTGTAGTACAAGGGATTACGTCTGTGCGATGTAATGAGAAACAGTCTGTATTTCACCCTTGATGATCTTGGTCTCCCTTACAGCTCCGTGTCAAGATGAAGCCACTGCAAGATGTTTCTTAACTCAAGACAATGGTTTCATAACCTCAGCAGATTGTGGAAATATTCTTGAGCAGCATTACCAGGTCAGTGCTCACCCCTTTCCCTGGGCAGTGCCTCATTTTGCTGGCAAGACACAATTTACAGCTGTGGTCAGTGGAAGGTGAGGAGTTACTACAACAATGAAACTACAGAGAAGAGAGCTGAAGATTCTTTCTGGGTGAAGGTATCCACAAGCAAAGGCACCTTTAAAAAGGAGCAGGCTGAGTTGGGGATTACTGTCTCAGTCATCCAGCTCACCCGTGTGACCCAGGATTGGCACTGCCTGTCATGACAAGGAGCGAGACCAGGCAAGTGGCTAAATCTCCAAGGACATGTGGGCCAGTTTCGAGAAGAAAGGGCTTCCCTTTGTCCCGGTTGGGGAGAGTAGGGAATTCTGATTAGCAGCAGTGGGAATGGTACTGAGGTGAGCAGCCTCTCCACCTGATCTGCCTTTGAGCAGTATCCAATTTCCTAGAGAACATTTGTTTACCTTTAACATCACATTACACAATGTGCAGAAAACAGGGCCTTATCATTTACACCAGATACGTTACAAAAATCATCATAAAATAGGTTAACATTTATGCTACGTGCACTATCGAAATAATCAACAATCAACATGGTATTTTCTCCAGGCACATTACCATAATAACCATAAAACATACTCACCATTTTTGCCAGATACCACATTTTATCCTTGCTGTATTTGATTTGTCTCCTGCAGTGGTAAACTTCCTGTTGAAACACAAAACAATTTTTATAATCAAATGCTCAGCCTCAGCACTGTACAATTCCTTGTCTGTGCCTGGGACAATAGGACCGCACAGCACACTGCTCCTGCTTTGTGTGTAGGACCTCAGTGATCTGTGCCTGAGAGAGAGTCAGACACCATCACAATTGACCCACATACTAACACAATCAGAGACTCAGCACTTCCAGATCTGTGTGCAGAAAGCATTCCAAGCTGTGGTGCCACTGAAGGAACACTGTACACGTAACATGAACTCATTATCGCAGGGAGGAGTTACGTCGAATAGTACAAATGCAGGAAGGAAAATAGAGGTCCCGACCCGAAACGTCAAACTTTCCTGCTCCTCTGGCCTTCTCTGTTCCTCCAGCTCCACACTGTGTTATCTCAGACTCTACCATCTGTAGTTCTTTTCTTTACACAGAGAGTGGTGGGTGCGTGGAATGCGCTGCCGGTAGTGGTAGTGGAGTCAGATACTTTAGAGACTTTTAAGCGACTCTTGGATAGACACATGGAGGGTAGTAAAATGTAGGGTATGCAGGGTAGGTTGAGCTTAGTAGGATAATAGGTTGGCACAATATCGTGGGCCAAACGGCCTGTACTGTTCTATGTTCTTACTATCTCTAAGGAAAATAGAATGATGCCCTTTAATGTAAGGGGAATGGAATATAAAAGTAAGGATGTTTTGCTACAGTTGTAGTGGGCACTAGTGAGATCACATCTGGAATACTGTGCGCCGTCTTGGTCTCCACAGTTACAAAAGGACATCGTTGCATTAGAAGCAGTTCACAGAAGGCTCACTCTACTGATTTGTGAGAAAAGGTTGGACAAACTGGGCCTGTTATCCATTTCAGTTTTGAAAAGAGTAAGAAGCAATCTCATAGAGGCATGAAAAATCCTGAGGGGATTTGACAGGGCTCATGGTGGTGCTTCCCCTTTTGAGAGAGGTAGATACATTGTTGAGTAACAATTGAGTCTGAGGGTAGCAACAATCGGATGGACCATGATATTATTGAATGGTGGAACAGGCTCTGGGACTGAATTGCCTCCTATTTCATTACATTCGTGTACATAAAGTGGACACTGGATAAACTTCTATTTCTTTGCCACACGTGCTTGTAGTGATGGATTATACGAATGTGAGGCTTAAACACCAGCATGGACAAGTTGGGCTGAATGGCCTCTTTCTGTGCTGAATGTTCATTGCCACCTAAGAACAGGCTCAGCAACACGGGGCAACTTACCACGGGTCTGCGAGGCTCATCTGGCAGCTGCGGAGGGTAAACCACTCGGTTCTTCCTCTCCCAGTTCTTGGCAGGTAGAGGGAGGCTGCTGTGTATGTGGGACTGAGGAACAAGGCTGCATGATGCGAGCAATCTGTAAGCAGAGGCATAATAAAGTTGTGATTTATGATACATCTCAATACTTCAGAATCATGGAGCTGTTCAGCACAGAAACAGACCCTTCGGTCCAACTTGTCCATGCCGACCAAACATTCTAAATTAATCTAGTTCTATCTGCCAGCATTTGGCCCATATCCTGCTAAACCCTTCCTATTCATATACCCATTCAGATACCTTTTAAGTGTTGTAATTGTACCAGCCTCCACCCACTTCCTCTGGTGGCTCATTCGCTTCACGCACCACCCTCTGCGTGAAAAGGTACCCCTCAAGATCCACAGATTATCCCTTTACCATTTTAGATTCACAGAGGAAACTTTCCGATGACTTGTTCAAATTTCCAATCGGTGGAGTAGGTGTTGGAAGAGAAATGGTATTGCGGTGGCAATGTCAGAAGCCCAGGATTATACTCTGGGGCACAGATTCAAAGGCAAATATTGCAGTTGGTAGAATTTACATTTCATAAATCTGGAATTTAAATTTAGTCTGGTCATGGTGACCATGATATTAACATCAAATGTTGTAAAATCCCATCCGGGTCACCAACATCCTTTAGGGAAGAAAACCTGCCATCGTTACCTGGCATGGCCTGCATGTGACTCCAGACCCACAGCAACATGACTCTTAACCATCCTCCGAACTGACTCGGAGGGTTGAAAGGCAATTAGGGGTGGACAATAAACACTAGCCTTACCCAAATCTCATTAAAGAACAAAAAAAATTGCCAAGAATCAGCTGGATGGACAAAGACAGAAATGTGTGGATGAGTTCATGTGTAGATGTTCAGCAATCAAAAGGAGTTGCCAAGTACAGTTACAGAGAGAAAGGTAGAGCAGGGATAGTCTCCCTAGTGCCCTGGGCCACGATTTATCGCAATCAAAAGCACTTTAAAAAAATGGTAGATGGTCTTCTCCTGTTCTACCCAAACTTTACCCCACTGTAACCTCATTTGGAGGCTTAAAAAAATTGTTGGAACCCCTTACTGAGAACTGAAAGGGGGTGGGGTGTCAGGATGGGATGAGGGAGAAAAATCTGAGATCATGTGACCCTGCTTTGGGAAGAAACACTCCAAGAAATTACAGCAGTGCTGTTTGTGGGAGCTTCCTGTGCATAAATTGGCTGCAGGTTTTCGGGCATTACAACATTTTCCAAGATGGTGAAACACCACCCTGAGGCTGCGAGAGGCAGCACTAAGTAAACACAAGTCTTTCTTCAGGGTTCATAACCGCAGTCTTACCTGCTGTGAATGTGGGTCAGCAAACTCCTGATAAATGCAGCACCTACAAGACAGAAAACAGAGAGTGAGGGAGGGTGAGGAGGAAGCAACACTGCACTCACTGAGCTGCTGGAGGGTCAGGAGGGGAACACACTCACTGAGCTGCTGGGGGAAGGTGTTATGCATTCACTGAGGGGGAGCCCTCACTAAGGGAGATTGATGAGGGAGCCATCACTGAAGAGGACGGTGAGATTGAGGAGAGAGCTGTCACTGAGGGGGGAGGGTGAAGACGAGGAAAATGAGGTGGGAGTCCCTCGTGTGTGGGAGGGGAATGGTGAGGGGGGGGGAAGAGAATGGGGAGGGGGGGGGAAGAGAAAGGTGGGGGGGGGGGGGGGAGGTGGGGGGGGGGGGGATG